TGGCCACTAAACACTTTGGCACAGCTTCTTGATCTCCTTGGAAGATGACCTCATGCATTTGCCAACATAATTGCTAATGATTCTGTTGTTTTTAACAGGCTCTCTATGGTCCTAATTGTTTGTTTAGAGCATATGGAAGGTGATAGAAAGCTAATTGCTAGAAAGTGTATTGACAATTGGGCACATTTGGGCTGCTAATTACTTTAGAAAAAATTCAGACCAATGCTTGTTTGAGATCATTAGGTAACATGTTTCATTACCTTTTGATATTGCTTTTGCTGTTGCCTAAATTGTTAGCAATAACTAGAGTTTCTCTGCATATTACACTAAAAAAGTAAGTTTTTTTTTGACTAAAGCAGCAGAGTGCTCTTGTTTGTACTAGATCTCTGCTTTAAAGGGTAACTCCACTTTTATGAAAAAATCTAGAACATAAAAAAAAATAATATAGCATAAAGATTTGTTACATAGGCCATATTGTAATTTAATGTTATTAAAAACTATGCTTCCATTTTTTGACTAAAGCAGCAGAGTGCTCTTGTTTGTACTAAATCTCTGCTTTAAAGGGTAACTCCATTTTCAGGAAAAAAATCTAGAACATAAAATAATAATATAGCATAAACATTTATTACATAGGCCATATTGTAATTTTATGTTAGTAAAAACTATTCTTCCATTTTTCGACTAAAGTAGCAGAGTGCTCTTGTTTGTACTAGATCTCTGCTTTAAAGGGTAATTCCACTTTCATGAAAAAAATCTAGAACATAAAATAATAATATAGCATAAACATTTGTTACATAGGCCATATTGTAATTTAATGTTAGTAACAAATATTCTTCCATTTTTCGACTAAAGCAGCAGAGTGCTCTTGTTTGTACTAGATCTCTGCTTTAAAGGGTAATTCCACTTTCATGAAAAAAATCTAGAACATAAAATAATAATATAGCATAAACATTTATTACATAGGCCATATTTGTAATTTAATGTTATTAAAAACTATGCTTCCATTTTTCGACTAAAGCAGCAGAGTGCTCTTGTTTGTACTAGATCTCTGCTTTAAAGGGTAACTCCATTTTCATGAAAAAAATATAGAACATAAAATAATAATATAGCATAAACATTTGTTACATAGGCCATGTTGTAATTTAATGTTATTAAAAACTATGCTTTCATTTCAATCTGCATCACGATAATTTTCTGTAAAATTCAATGCAATACAGCGACCTGGAGGTGCTCTGTACACAGTTGGTGTACATAACGCCTTCAAAAATGTAATTTTTATGCTTGGGTAATTTGTTCTCTGATTTTCCAAAACACTGCATTAAGATACAATGTAGATTTGAGGCACCAACCGGCGGAAGAAATGTAAGTTTTGGTGAGATACTTCCCAAAGGTTAATTACTTCTGGAGGGATGCAGACACTGCAGCATTCCTCTTTAGAGCACATAAAGTGCATCAGCAATGAATAATAATCGAGAGTTTGCAGTAGTAGTATCAGTATTATCAGAACACACTATCTGCGTTTGGGGCTGTGCAACTTCACCTGCATGGATGTCAAATTCAGAGCAGAAGCTGTGTCCCAATGGACATGAATGAGATTCACGGAACACCTGTGCATCCCTGTGTGGGTAAACGAGGCCCTAGTGTGGGTGTACACTGTAGTATGCCCATGTGAACAAGGCGTTAAGGAAGTTTGGAAATTTGGATTATTGTTAGCCAGAACAAGAGTGGACTATGGAACTATGTTTTTTTTTTATATTTCCTTTACTTTAGACTTCGTGGTAGAAAAAAAAGGTTGCTCAGTAAGCACACGACACCATGGAAAGCAACTAATAAACCCCATCAACTCACAGCAATACATTCCATTTGAGCTCATGTGACCTTGAGCTGCAAGATCTAGGAGAGATTGATTAATGATTCATTAATGATTTATTAATGATGTTGGGTGTATTGTAATGTATATTTTGTAGTAATATTCGGAGCGGTTTTTGTGCAGCAATTTGCTGGATCTTGCAGCTGGAAGACATAGTTGTGGTACCTACCTATCACAGCAGCTTCAGGTGGTAGTTGTGGATAATGTAGTTTAGGCATGTTTGGTTCAGTTCATTCCGAATCAAAATTGGGACAAAATTTTTGTTATTTGGAAATTCAAATGTATCCCCATTTTTGAATTACAATAGTAACTAATCCAAATCAAGGAAATTCAATTTTGTCTGAAATAATGAAGTATCTGGATCTAATCAAATTCGAAAACAAATTTGAAATGTAAACATATTGCTGATTTCCTTTAAAGACTGTGTGTATTAGTTATAGAATAGAGACATCTTCCAAAATTTGAATTTAGAAAACAATAGAATAGAAAATAAAAGAATAGAATAAAATAGAAAATAAAATAATAGAATAAAAAAAGAGCAGAATAGAATATAATAAAAATAGAATAGAAGAAAATAGAAAGAATAGAGCCATCTTCCAAAATTAACATTTTGAAAAGAATGGAACAGAACAGAAATATTATAGTTATCTAACAAAATTTAATTTTTAAAAGAATAGAATAAAACAGAATAGAATAGAAATAAAAGAATAGAATTGAATATAAAAAAAATAAAAAAGAATAGAATAGAAAATAAAGAATAGAATAGAAAAACATAGAAACATATAGCTGTCTTCCATAATTCAATTAGAATAGAATAAAATATATAACAAGTATCTGAATCAAATCAAATTCAAAAACAAAGTTGAAATGTAAACATATTGCTGACTATTGCTAATTTCCTTCAAAGACTGTATGTATTAGTGTTAGAATATAGCTGTCTTCCGAAATTCAAATTTAGACTAAAACAAAATAGAATACAATAGACTAGAAAATAAAAGAATAGAATGAAATTGAAAATAAAGTAATAGAATACAAAAGAATAGAACAGAAAATAATAGACTATAAAACATGGAATAGAATAAAATAGAAAGAATAGAGCAATCTTCTGAAATTCAAATTTTAAAAAGAATAGAATAGAATCAAACAGATTAGAACAGAATAGAATAACTATAGCCTTCTACCAAAATTCAAATTTTGAAAGAAGTAGAATAGCATAAAACAGAATAGAATAGAATATAAAATAAAATAATAGTATCTAAAATAAAAGAATAGAATAGAAAATAAAGGGATAGAATATAAAATAAAAGAATAGAAACATGCAGCTAGCTTTCAAAATTCAAATATAATACAATAGAATAAAACAGAAAGAATATAGCCGTCTTCCGGAATAAGACATTTTTGAAAAGAATAGAATAAGAACAGCATAGAATATAAAATAAAAGAATAGCATAGAATAGAATAGAAAATAAAATAATAAAAAACAATAGAATAGAATAGAAAAAAATACAATAAATTACAATTTAGAACAGAATAAAAAAGATAGAATATAGCTGTCTTCCGAAATTCAAGGTTGGAATAGAATAGAACTAACTATTCTTCACAATGAATTTGGATTGATTCAGTATTTTCGATTAAAATTAAATTTGAATACTTTAACTCCATTGGAAAAATGTGAATCCGGAATAAACAAAACTAAACAATTCAAAATGTATATGCGAAAGAAAGGAAAGTAATACAACAGCACCACATTCCTTGGAGAGTTGAACAAAAAACAAAATAGAGTTGGACCGGGATTTTTAAGGTCCTTTTACCCATTAACTAATACCTTATGTCCTGGTCTTGGTTTTATCAAACGTGAACAAGCCCACACACATGCTGCAGCCTACATTTGACTTCAGTAAAGTCTTAGGTTTCAGTCTGGCTCAGTGCACTGACTTCATTGATCTTAGGTTTCTTGAAGGCAAAGGTGTCTGTACTATGAATTATGGAAGATACTCTTTCTAATACTCTCATTTAATATTCTGGTTATGAGTTTGTCGGTTGGCTGTTGCTGATCCACTGCTAATGGTTGAAATTAGTTTTTTCTCACTCTTTCACTTTTGACACTTGGATTCGTATTTCACTCTTTGCTTTCTCTCTGCCTTCTATCCTGTTCCTTTGCCTGATTCTTCGATTATGGTTGTCTTCTGTCTGATCTGACTTCTGCCTTGCTCTAACCATCAAGAAAAAGCTTGTTATTATTCATCTCAATGGAGTTTGCCAATCATCCAGAAACTCTGGTTCAGTTGGCTTAGTTTGCACATCTCTATGTATGTGTGTAACATCATATCCATAAATATAATTCCTATAAATCAGGGGTCTACAAACTATGGCACCTCCAGCTGTTGAAGTACTACAAGTCCCATCATGCCTCAAGTGAGTCTTTCCTGTGGCTGTCAGAGTCTTGCAAGGCCTCATGGGACTTGCAGTTCCTCAACACCTGGAGGACCATAGTTTGGAGACCCCTGCTATAAATGATCAAAGGGACTTACACATATGTCATCCAAATTTGTGATTTCACAGACACTTAAATGTTACTTATAACGTCCTATTTTTGTCATAGCTTTTTCAGTCTGGCAGTAGGCCGAGGAAGTGACTGAATTGTTTTTCTTTTTCCTTGTAGGTAAGAAGCTAGCTGTGTTTTGGGATATGTTTTTTCCATCAATACAAAATGTCACATGTCAAGTTTTGACAATTTTAATAACTTTTTTGCAAATGTATGTAAATATTATCCATAAACGTTAGTCCAAATAAAGTTGGTTAATATATTCACTTTAAAGTGCTTTATGTGCCATACCCATCAATTGGTAAACTTGTGCCAAAACAGTCTTGGTAGCCTATAGCTTGGATCATCACTGTTTAGCTTTTGTGCAGAAGCAGTTCTAAAGCTGCCGAAAGCCCAGTTTTATCATTTGTTGAAACCACATAATTGAATGCACAGCTTTTGTTGAAATGCTTAACTCCACTCTGACACTATTCCCTGCAAAGTCACTAAACTGTGAGCCAGCACGGGTCTTCTCTCAGGTGGAAGCATCACATGAATTACTTCCTATGAATCCAGGCTATCATGGACACACTCCCTAGGACAAAACAATGTTCACACAGCATTAGAGAGGCACACTGTCCTGGAGTAAGAATCACCCACCACTCCTGCTATAGAAGAAGGTCCCATGCAGGGGCGGACTGACAACTCATGGGGCCCCCGGGCAATAGGGGATCATGGGGCCCCTGTGTCCTTGCCCAAACTCAAAAACGCCTATGAAAAAGGTGTGAGGAGCATCTCATGGTGCCCCCTACTGACCCCAGGCCCTCGAGCAATTCCGAGTTTCCAAATGGTCAGTCCGCCCCAGGTCCCATGACATCCCCAGAACACTGTGGGCCTTACGATGTGTATAAAATAATTTTGTAAAAAGTGCCAGAATGGATTTTAGGGTGGGAAGGAGCTAGAAAAAACTGGAGTCGGCCTTTTAGCACATAGAATTTGTTGGCCTTCTTGTCACAATTCATCTTGCATCTTTCAGCCTTTGAAACCCATTATTGTTATAATGTTATAATGCAGGGGTAGTATATTAAAATTCATAGAGGTCCAGTCAATAAATATTTCTACCGGTAGGGGTCCGGATCTCATATTTGTGCTATTACTCAGAATCCCTTTACATCACAGTCCCCTCTTCACGTCATAGACCCCCCATTTACATCACTGCACCCTTTACAATATAGACCCCTCTTTACATTGCTTCCCCTTTTACATCACAGTCCCATTTGCATCACAGCCTCGCTTTACAATATAGAGTCCCACACCTTTGCATCACAGTCCTCCCCTGTGCATCACTCTCCCCCCTTTAGATTTCAGCAGCCCCCCATCTTTAATTCATACTTCCCCTTTTCATCAGTCTCCTCCCTTTAGATCAAAGCCCCCAATATTTACATAACAGTCCTCCATAGTTAAATTACAGTCCCCCATCTTTACATAACAGCCCCCCCATTTGCATCAGAGTCCCACTCCCTGTACATCATAGTATCCCCATATTTACTTAGCAGGCCCCCCTTTACATTGGAGGTGACCCTTTACATTACAGCTACCTTCACATAAAAGTTCCCATCTTTTACAATATACAGCCCCCCTCTTTACATTATTGCACCCCTTTTACATCGCAGGCTCCCTTCAAATCAAAGTCCTGCTTTACATTACAACCCCCCTTCACATCAAAGTCTCCCCCCCTTTACAGTACAGCTCCCCTTTTATATTATAGCACTGTCCTTTACATTGCAGCACCCCCATTGCATCTCAGTGCCCCCTTTCCACTCTTTATATGGCCCACTTTGACAATACATCCCCACCACCATTATATCAGTGTGATCACCCACCCCCCTTTCAATCCTACCTTTCATGGCAGAGGGCAGGAGGAGCAATCGGTCTGAAAGAAGGATGGGAGCTTCCCAACTTCTGCTAATAACAAGGGGGTTATTTGTGGCTAGGACAGCCCCATGTCATAGTAATCAATCGGTCGCTTGTTAACTTGTAAAACAGAGCAGCTCCCGCCCTCCATCCAGATCAATCAGTCCTTCCTTCATCTGCCCTGTTGTGAAGATGACAGCAGTGGCAGGAGGAAGTGAGGAAATTCAGCTAAATAGCATGGCTGTGGCGGTCCAGACAGGACTGTCATGCAGTCTGGGTCTGGACCGTGGTCCTCCATTTAGTAATGCCTGTTATAATGTTTCAAGGCTGTGGGTACGTCACACAGACAACAGAGAAAATCTAAGCCAAAGTGTATAGGTATGGGTCAAGTACTCTCTACTACACCAGTTACTTTTTTTTTCAAAGTAGAACACTCCTTTAAAAACACTCCTTTTACCACATTTAGATGTAAAGCTGAACTACAGATATGGCATTCATTGCATAACCACATTGGTTCAGCTTATACCAATGATGTATACATATTTCCTACTTGGGGGAACACTATGGAAGCTGAAAATCACTGCAGTAGTCACCTCTACTACAATGGTTGTGTGTCCTGTGCCAAGAAGCTGCCCTTCTGCATCACAAACACGGGATCATGGACTTGGCACTGGCATCAATCACATGACACCTTGAATCTTTCCAATAAATACAATGCGATCTGATTGTGACATCACCACTCTGCCCATGCCAACCAAGCGACTCTCTGTGTTCACTATGCAGAAAGGCAGCCACTTGGCACAGCACTTGGAATTCAGCAGCAATCACTGTAGAAGCGGCAACTACTACAGTAATTCTCCCCCATTCACGGAGATCTCATAGGTATGGAATATGTATACTTACATTGGTCCAAGCTTGAACAGTGTAACTATGCAATAAAACCATAGCTGGAGTTCAGCTTTAATGATGGCAATGTTTATTTCATCTCATTAATACCTCAGTGATGTCTGTCTAAGCTGATCTTTCCCCATTGATCTTTACCTTGTCACAGTTGATTTCTCAGAATTTCTATTTGCTCTCCTACATTCACCTTTTTCCTAGATGTATGTACCACTTTGTTTTTTTCCACCATGACTGTATAAAGAGCTTGATAGATGGCTCTGGACCAGATGGTGCCTGGGCAGTTCAGCTCTAACCTACAAGGAGGTGACAACAGCACCTCTGCAGCACAATAAGACCCCCTGTTGACTTCACTTAGGAGGTGATTGATGCTACTTTGGCACAAATCTGTTTCTTTTTTTCTTTCTCTTTGTTTCATTGTATCCTCTGTACAATCTGCACTGTTTAAACAATTAACAGATTTCCAGTACAAAATTTCTGTTTAACATCATGCTGATATACTCTTGGGTCTCATTTAGCATGTTTATTTTTAAATAATTTGTAAGGGATTTACTGCTTTCATTAAGCATTTAAAGGACTCTTGCAGTGTCTTTCGATAGTAGTGTAACACCAATTAAATAGAACAAAAGAGAATATATATCTAGATACACTAATAAGTTAATATTTATATAATATAAAATAAATGATTTATTATGTATTGTTCACTGCTTTAGTTCTTAGTTCTCTTAGACTGAGGTTGAAATCTCATTATACCTCTATTAAAAAGGTATAAACATGACATCTTTTTTGTCATGGATATCATATGTTAATCTATGTGGTTCTTTTGTCATTGGTTGTGAGATTAATGTTTACCTATGACAGGACAAGAATTATAGCATGTCTTATGTCCTAAATACAACATTAGTTTTACACCAATTTACATTTAGACCATAAATAAACTTCAGCACTAAGGGTATTATATGTGCCCTCTCCGAATATGCATTTGTAACAACAAAATATATGGACTTAAAAAGCTTTAAGTCTGGCTGAAAATTGTATTCCTTTTCTTATCTGCCCTAGAATAAAAGCACAATAGCTGTGTTATATGGTTTATTGTTGAGGACGACATTATCACTTCTATGCCCATTAGTTTTTGTAAGTGATGTTTGCTGTGTTTATGAATTATTACAGAAAAAAAAACAGTTATGTTAACATGATAAAACAAAACTCAGTTGATTTTTCTTTTTCCATATTGGATTTTTAGCTGTATTCTAGAGTTCTGCCAGTATCAATGGCTATACCCTGCCATAGTGCTTCCAGTATTGTGAGCTACACTTTATTTTTCAGTGTGCAGCACAACAAGCAGAAGTGCAGAAACTCATAGTGACCAAAGATAATAGACTTTCTTGCTTTCACATACACTGGACCTTTAAGAAACTTTAAAGCTCTCTTACTAGTGTTGAGATAATCAATCAAAGTTCTGTTTGCTGGACATTTGCCAAGCCCAGAACCCTATTGGAGTCTATGGGAGCTGATTCTTGTCATTTTTTTCTAGCCTTTTTTTACGGGCCAATTTGCCAGCTTTTGTTTAAAATGGGTAGCTGGGCACTGCCATAGGGGCCATGTTCCAAGACAATTTTAATGTAAATGCTGTTCCTTTAAAGGATAAGGACACCTTTTATAAAAAAAAAAAAAAATGCGGTTTAAAAAAAGACAATTTATTAATTTTTTACACTGCATCCTTTAAAGCATTGCACCTGCAGTCAGCAGATCATGGGTACAATGCCATGAACCTGCAGACCCTCAGTAAGCTGTCTGCCCATACCACCTGTACGGGCAGGTAATTACTGAATGGCAGGAAGAATCCATGAACTACTAGAGTGCTCACCAGCACCCTCGCAGTCCATTGAGAACTACAAGCTGTTAGCCGCAGTGGCCATTGTTACTTGTAGTTTATTCACAGAACTCCTCCTCCTGTGGGATGAACCCCACACGGCCGCACTGTTTTAAAATTGTCACAGCAGAAGATCCCCCACCCACGGTTGCAAGTGGGGAAAGATGGCCCCCTCAACATGGTTTTGGCATGGACAATGAGGGGGGGAAGGCACGTGTTTATTAATTAATTAATTAATTTCATCCACCCCAGACCCTTATATAGTCATGCAACCTGGGTGGCCAGGAAGGGTGGGCCTGCAAACATATGAGCCCGTCTTCCTGAAGCACACCAAGCCACATTCTCTGAATAAGAAAAAATGGAGAGGGATCCCCCTACCCCTATAAATCCATTCCAGACCCTTATCTTGTATATACTAGATTACAATTTGAAACAAGCTGGTGGACAGGAGGTTGAAAATTGTAATTTAGTGGCTGTAGAATTCAAGCAGTTCAATCGGGCAGGTGAATTAAAAAAAATTTGGCCATTTACTTTTCCCATTTAGTAAACTACAAAAAAGCTTGAATTTGGGTCGAACTCAAGGTCAAGCAGAACCAAAAGTCTATTCCTACCCCTTGCACTATACCATTTTTTAGCATTACACATGTTAACTTGTGCTATTTCATTAATAAAAAAAACAAACATTAAAAAATTTAAATAAAATAAACAAAAACATAATAAAAAGTAGCAACAATAATAACAATTCTATAATGCTGTTCTTCCTGGAAACTCATAGTGCTTGTCAGGTTAGAGTTGGGATCTTTGAAGAGAAGGAATTGTCAGGTGTTGCTATAAGCCTGGGTGAATAGATGTGTCGAGTCTGTTTTTAAAAACATCTAGTGAGGGTGCTTCCCGGATAGTGGATGACAGTGAGCTCCATATTGTGGGTGCTATGACACAATGCTTCGGATTTAATAGAATCTGGGGCAACTCTGGGCATGTGTGGTTTTCCTTTATCTAAAGAGAGGGGGAAATATGGTTAACTCAAAATTCAGTCATATAGGCAGGCTATAAGATATTTAGAGCTTTAAAAGTAAGTAGACTATTTCAAGATAT